TTTTTTTTGGTTAGAATTTTGTTCTACATTTTTCTCCATCTCTGTCTGGGACCCTCTACTGTGATCCCTGTCAGAGCAGTTGGTGGTGGTAGACAGGCACTGTCTGCTTGTGCTGGACTCAGTCTGGTGGAGGCTGTGATAGTTGTGGTCCATTAGTCCTTTGGATTAATCTTTCCCTTGTGTCTTTGGTCTTCTTCATTCTCCCTTGCTCCTGATGGGGTGAGACCAGTGGAGTATCTTAGATGGCCGCTCACAGGCTTTTAAAACCCCAGATGCTACTCACCAAAGTAGAATGTAGAAAACTTTCTTTATAAACTATGTTATGCCAATTGAGCCAGATGTTCCCCGAGACCATGGTCCCCACAGCCCTCAGGCCAGTAATTTGGTCCCTCAGGGAGTTGGGATGTGTCTATGGAGCTTCCATGACCTTGCCTTGGACAAGTTGTGCTGACTTCCCCATTATTGTGTACTGTCTTACCCTTTACCAAAGTTACCACTTATCTATTGTCTATTTAGTGCTTTTCCTTCCCACCCTCCCCTCCCTCATAACCACCAAAGATTGTTTCTTTTTGTGTGTAAACCTTTTCATGAGTTTTGATAGTAGTGGTCTCATACAATATTTGTCCTTTTGTGATTAACTTATTTTACTCAGCATAATGTCCTCCAGATTCATCCATGTTGTGAGATACTTTGCAGATTCATCATTGTTCTTTATCGTTGCGTAGTATTCCACTTAAAACATGTTTTTAAATGACCACCATGTGGATGCATAATTTACTTAACAATCCCATTTGTTTGTAACTGAGGTTGTTTCCATTTTTCACTATTATAAACAACTCTTTAATGAATATCTTTGCATATAAATTTTGATCTGCTTCTCTGATTTTCTTCCCGATAGATTCCTAGAAAGCATATTACTAGTTCAAAGGATGAGGGTGATTTTTGAAGTTAAGCCACAGTCTACCAGTGCTAAGGACCTAACAGTCTTATATAGCCAAGCGCGACAGGTCTAAAAGCCAGAGCAGCTGTGGCTTTCAGGCGGGTCACAGAGCCAAGGGGCAGGAGAGTCAGGCGGAGGCAGAGAGCCTGTTTCTAGAACAGACCAATGGATGGTGAAATATCTGTTGACGGGCCAGAAAGGAATGAGTTTGGTACTCACTCACGAAAGCAACTTCATGGCATATTTCTCAGAGCAGAGCCCAACTTAGGACTAGCTTCTAACCAACAGAGCTGTAATCAGTTCAATCAGTTGCCGTCGAGTGGATTCTGACTCATGGCAACCCCATGCATGTCAGAGTAGAACTGTGCTCAGTAGGGTTTTCAATGGCTGGTTTTCCGCAAGTAGATCACCAGGCATTTCTTCCGAGGTGCCTCTGGGTGGACTCAAACCTCCAAACTTTTGGTCAGCAGCCAAGTGTGCTAACCGTTGCACCACTCAGGGACTCCAAGTGCTTCATCTGAATCAAAGACCCTTTTCCTAATTTCCTTATTTCTTTACCTAATATTTATTAATAGCAAAGGCCCCTTCCAGTTCACATGTCCATGATGCTGTGATTCTATTCCATGCTCAGCAAGTACTGAGAGCGGTTAGAGAACCACACTTTGTAGAAGGACTCATCTACACCACAGTTATTTGTGCACACAGATGGGCTTTGTGATCTCTGCCCTGTGAGCATTTACTGTGGCAACCAAATCAAATTTACAACAAAGTTACCCTGACAAAGAGTTTATGAATATGTCTGAGTGTTATTACGCTGCATGATGATCAAGCTGTTCACATGAAATGACATGCAGTCAAATTCAATTTTACATTTTTACTCCACTCACGTTGTCCGTTGCTTAGTCTACATGTAGCAACAGGGTTGACAATTTTCCCTGACACAGACAGAGATGTTTAAAGAAACAAAAAGGAATTAGATCTGAATCCTCAGCTATTGGGGTTCTTTACTGCTTCCCACATAGCCCTGACTCACGTCCCATTCTCCATGACCCCACTCTAAAAGGGTCTTGCTGTCAGCCTAGCTGGGCTGGCCTAGAGTGTTTGGGTGCTGAAGAATTCAAGGCAGAAAACTGCTGGCACACAAGGCTGTGGCTGGTGCAGGGACAGAAGATGGTGTGGCGGCTAGTGTGAAGTGGAGAGATGAGAGGGCAAAGGGATCTTAAACCTGAAAATATAGGGTAAGGAGGAAGAGGGCTGTTAACCAACAGATATTGAGCAGAGAAAACAAATATGTAAATATTATAAATCGGTTCACTCAATACCCGTTGCTGTTAATTCTGACTCATAGTGACCCTATATGACACAGTAGAACTGCCCCATAGGGTTTCCAAGGCTGTAACCTTTACAGAAGCAGACTGTCATACCTTTCTCCTAAACAGCAGCTGGTGGGTTAGGACCATTAACCTTTCAGTCAGCAGCTGAGTGCTGAACCACCATGCCACCAGGGCTACTTGGTTCACTCAATACCCATTCCAAATCCCTACCAGTCTACTTTCCTGGATGGAATGTTATGTTTCCCAGAATCCCTTGCACTTAGAGAGCCAGTTGGATGTCTGGAAGTGAGCTTTGGGGGCAACAGGCAAACGTGGGGAAATAGGAACTTTTGGCAAGGACAGTGGTGGAAGAACAGGTTCTTCTGGCACACATCTCTAGAGCTACCAGGGACAAGTGGTCAATGGTGTTGGCAGTGCTATTTCCACTAGAACAATCTGGTAGTGTCTCTGGGTGTTTTTGTCTGGCTGTATCATCCCAGGCTGTATAGCATCCCAGCCTGGTTTTCTGACCCTCCCAAGTTATTTAATGTTTAATATTCTCCATGAAATCCCTTCTGCATAAACTTGCTAGAGTAGAATGTGTTATGAGCAACTAAGGATCGTAACGGATATAAAAGGAGAAGAAAGGCTGACAAGAAAGGACTTGCTATGTACGTAGAAAACGCAAAGAAGCTGGTGACCCTCATAAAAACATTCATATCCTTTGACCCAATAATCCCACTTCCAGGCGTCTATGCTAAGTAAATCATCTAAAATATGAAAAGGTTTTTATGTATTGAGGTACTTCTAACAAATATAATATATATTTTAGAAATATTACAGAATATAAATATATATAGAATACATTATAGAAAATAGTCTAAATGTTTAACAATATGGCGCCTGGTGTGGCTGCAGTGGAGTGATTCCAGTACCAACAGATGGTGGGAGAGGCCACTGGTGGCGGCCTTGAGGTGAGGTTCAGGGTCTGGGACACCAAGAATCACAGTGATGTGGGCAAAGCACTTCTATTTACATTACTTTATATAATACCTAAAATCAGTAGTTATTTCTAGAAAAATTCTGGAAGGATACCTCAGAAATGATAATAGCAGTCATCTCTAGGGAGTAAGACTGGGTACGGGAAGTGGGGCAAGAATGGAAACTTTCTTTTCGTCTCACACCCTTGAGTACCTTTCCAGGCATTTTTGTTTTTTTAATAATATATAAGAAGCCCTCAGCTGCTAACCGAAAGGTTTGCAGCTCGAACCCACCAGCTGCTCCACGGGAAAAAGATGTGGCAGTCTGCTTCCATAAAGATTTACAGCCTTGGAAACCCCATGGGGCAGTTCTACTCTGCCCTAGAGGGTTGCTATGAGTCAGAATCAACTCAGCAGCAGTGGGTTAATAATATGCATGTGTTATTTTTATAATGGAAGAAAAAATTTCAAACAAAAATTCTGATAAGACAATTAGGGAAATCATTCATCTATTCATTCAACAACCAATGACTAAATACTACTGCAACAAGCACTGTACTGGCCAAAGGAAAACGAAGAAGAGCAAGACTCTGCCCCAAGCCAGTGGGGGAGACAGATAACTATCCCATCCAGTGCGATAAGTTCCAGGACAGATGGTTGGATAGGGCCTTCGAGCAAGATAGCTCCCAATGAGCCCTGCTTTCTGGTATTCACATACTTGCGTAGACCCCTTTCACACTGTAGAAAGGTTGGTCCATTTGAAGGGACAGGGGAGGTGATGGGGACCAAGTGGACAAGAACTGCAGAGTTCCTGTGGCCAGAGGGGAGTCTTTGAAGAATTTTAAGCAGGATGGGGACACGTTTAGGTTAAAAAATCACTCTGACTACAATGTGGCCAAACCACTGAATAGAAAAGGCTAGACTGGGGGTGGTGGGCAGTTTCAGTTGGAGGCCAGTAACCCACAAAAATGACAGAAAGAGTCATTATCCCTGCTCTGCAGATAGGCCAAATGATATTCAGAAAGTTGAAGTGACTGGTCCAAAGGCACAAGACAAAACGGATCAGAGGCCAAACAACAGTGGCATAAGCTGAAAAGCACTTTTCCTTTGCCTGCAGACTTCTTGTCTGCAGGCAGCTGGCTGGGGCCGGAGGGTTGGCTGGACAATCGAGTGGCTCAGAGTTCCTAGAGCCCCTTTAGGGGAGAAAACAGGTCCATCAACGGGTATGGCAATTCCACGCCTGGACTTAAGAGGCACTGAATGTTATAGTTGAAGGGGCCCTAAAAGAAGACTTACTCTACACTCTAACTCTAAAGATGTGGAAACTGAGGCACAGAAAGGTCTTGCCCACGGCCCTATCACCTCAAAGAAGCAGAGTCTTTTATTCTCAAATCCAAGTATTTTATTCTTCCCACCAGACTACATTCATTCTTTCTAAAAACAATAAAGTACACTGTGATCATTATTATAAAGTATGTGTCCAGTATAGATACTTTAAGAAAAACTAACAAGTAAAAGGAAAAAATGTCTTGAGTCCAACATTGGAAGACAAACTCTTACCATTTCCTCGTGCTTCCTTCTATTCTTTATTCTTCTATGCATATTTTTTCTTTATTCATTTTTTTTATCTTTTTACTCTTTAGGTAATAATACCACAAACATTTTTAACATTGGTATAATCATTTATTTAATCATTTGTTTATCTAGAGGGATAGTTTCTAGTTTTTCACCACATAAATAACACTTTGTTCATAAAGTTTTTATGGTATATCCTTGGAATAAAACAAAATTGTTGTCCAGTCAGCCCCGACTCATTGCGATCCTATGTGTATTCCATAGAGTCTTCAATGGCTGATTTTTTCCCAGAAGTAAATAGCCAGGCCTTTCTTCCAAGGCACCTCTGGTGAGCTCGAACTTCCAACTTACTAGTTCACAGCCGAGTGCGTTAAGCTTTGCACCACCCTGGGATTCCTTCCTTGGAATGAAGTCCTAGAAATAAAATTTCTAGGCCAAAAGTATATTAAATATTGCAATGTTGTTTTCTAAGAGTGTTGCTCCAATGTATGCGCCAGGCAACAATGCTAAGAGCGTCTCTGCCTCTTTTTAAAGAAAAAGCAATCCTGCCCACTGCTGACCCCATGCTTCCTTCACCCTCGCTCTCCTTAAAGCCAGGCTGAGTGAGCTCCCTGAGTCTCGGCCTGGAGTCTTGCTCCTTCTTGTCTGGGCAGGATTTAAGAGCCAAATCTGCCATGTCCCTGCCTGTCTCCCATCTTCCCTCTCACCTGTGATGATTATTCTGTACTCTGGTTTCTAGCTCCAGCCCGGCCCCACCTCTGGGCTGTAAAAACTCTCCTCAATCTATGGAATGCCATGGCCACAGCCCTGTAAACTTCTCCAGTGGACAGAGGGGCTGCTCTTGTCACCGAGAGGGTGGAGGGGGCATAGGAGAAAGAAAAAGCCAGACTGATCAGTAGGTGGGGCCCGCAGGCGGGCACTGGGCCACATCCCTCACTGTGCACACAGGGAATGGCTGCTGCTTGCCTCAGGGACAGGCCCCAAACTCCTCTTTGAGTTTGGCTGGAATGAGCTTTAGATATTTTGGCCAAGCCCCTTCTGTGGGCTTTCGGGGTCAGACCTGTTGACTCACCTTGTTTCTCTATACCTTGGAATCCCTAACCTGGCCACCCAGGGCCAGGCCCATCCAAAAGAGAATTCACATCCTTTTCCCAGCATATCCTGAAGAGAAATCTGGTTTCCCTTTAGCCCTCCCCCAACTGCGTGGAGGTCATGGTGAAGGATCATGTAAGGGGGAGGCCTTGCATTGGGTCCCCCCAAAAGACATGTTGAAGTCTTATTTCCTGGCACCCGTGGATGTGACCTTATTTGGAAGTAGGGTCTTTGCAGATGTAATCAAGTTAAGATGAGGTCACACTGCAGTAGGTTAGGCACTGATCTAATGACTGGTGTCCTTATAAGAGGAAAATTTGGACAAAGACACAGGGGGAATATGGCCACATGAAGACGGAGACTGAAGTTATGCTGCCACAAGCCAAAGAACACCAAGGGTTGCTGGCAACCACCGGAAGCTAGAAGAGGCAAGGATGGATTCTTCCCTAGAGCCTTTGGAGGGAGCATGACCCTACCGACACCTTGATTTTAGACTTCTAGCTCCGTAACTATGAGAGAATAAGTTTCTGTTGTTTTAAGCCACCCAGTTTGCGGCATTTTGTTTAGCAGCCCTAGGAGACTAATACGTCCACAAAGGCCCATCTGAGAGGTTTGTCTTCATGTTAATGCCACTTCTCCACAGGCCTGTTACCAGGGCCCAGCCATCCCAACTACCAGCAGTGCTGACTGAAACCCCTTGCCCACCTCTCGCTCTCCCTCTCACCCCACAAGCTGCAGTAAAACGGGAGACAATAAAGGTTCCCCATAGGCTGTCTGAGGTGCAGCTGCCTCCACACACCGTGAGGAACCAGGCCTGTCACCACAGCCATGTGCAGCAGGGGTGGAGTTTAGAACCTGCTGGTTGTATCCAGTCTGACCCTTGATCCAGGCAGGAGCTTCCTACCACTCCTACTTACAAAGTTTTGAGCAAACAACACAACTTCCCTCCTATACCAAATACCACACATAATGTAGGTACATTACGTGTGGAGTGTGAAAATCACTTGGGATTCAGGGCTGATGGGGCTGATCTGGCTGGCAGGAGAGGTGGTAGGACGGAGAACTCCTTCCTCCCTCATCACCCCTCCCAAGCTGTAAACTCGGGTCCCCATTTTATATCCCAGATTTATATACCTGTGTGCTATCATTAGCATAATGTTTAGCATTAACATCAATGTTAACATTAAAAAGAATTTAGAAATATCAAATGGTCTTCCTCTTGCAGCTGCTCTTTCCTTCTGTTTCTACCTTGATCCTATGTGTCCCATTTTTATCTGGACTCTTGCTCACTGTGGGAAAGGCCATGGGGGCCCGTGGGAAGAACTGACTGGGAGTCAGAACACAGGACTCCAGTCCAGGCTCTGTTACTAGCTCTGGGCAAGTGATTTCATCTTTCTGATCCTCAGTTTCCTCAGCTACAACAGAGTGATAGTAAGACACACCGTGGAGGCTGCACAGTGGATGGGAAAAGGTTTGGAGTCAAACTGAGTGAAGTTCAATCCTGGCTCCCCCACCCGCCAGCTCCACCACCATGAGCAAGTTACTTAACCTCTCTGAGCTTTGTTTTTCCCCTGAGTGAAAGAGGGTAAGTGGTAAAACGGACCCTGAAGGATGGGGCGGGGGTGAACCGAGATGATGCCCTTGACTCTCACACAGTTAAGCGCTGAATGAAGCCGCTTAGGCTTCCCTCCTCCCTCACAGGCTTACTGTGAGGAGAAAGGAGAAGAGGAATTACGGGGAAGTACGATGTAAACTACAGAGCTCACATGTTTCTTTAGTAACTTATATACTATACAATTCGTAATATTTTAATAAGTTGTTATTAATGAAGATATCCATTTCAGTACGCCCCCTCCCCGCTCTATTGCACTAACCAGGCAGAGTTCTCATTCCTGCCTGCTGCCATGGCCCCAGTTTTCTATCTAAAGCTTACCTGGGCCTCCATGCCAACTTTCAATGGCCTTGCACCCCACTCTCCCCACAGACACGCTGCTCCGCCCTGGCGACCCCCAGGCCGCCCAATCCTAACATCCGGGGCTAGGAACCGGAAGGGGCACGCCGGAGGCCGCGCGTCTGACCCCACTCAGGTGAGGCTGAGACTCTGGCCCGTGTCGGTCGACACTCACCCTCTTGACGAGGAAGCCCTCTTTGAGCACGCCGCCCTCGCTGTCCTCCATGCCGCCGCCGGCGGGGCTGCCGTGTCCCCAGGTGCGCGTTCCTAGGTGCCCGCGCCTCCCGCCTCCGCGCGCTCCGCGGCGCCCGCGCCCGCCCGCGCCGGCTGCGCCCAGGAAGCTGCTCAGACCCGGCCCTCTGGCCCATGTCCAGAGCCCGCGGCCGCAGGGCCTCCCCGGCAGGAAGTTAGACCAGGTTGGGATTTCGTGAAATGATCCTCCCCTCGAAGGTGCCCCAAAGCCCGTGGTTAGTTCTCCAAGTACAGATTCCGCTAACTCTTCAAGTCCGGCCTTGGTGTCGCCTCCTTGAGAACCTTCCCCGCCGCGGCTCTCTCCGGCTGGGTAGGGTAACCCATCAAGTGGCCAAGCCCAACGCCCCAGCCCTGCGCCCCACCCGGGTGCCCCCGCCGCAACCTGAGCCCCTTACCGCCCTGTCTCTGCCCAGCTGCTGTCTTACTCCACCCTCGCCCTCAGAACGCTAGATGCCATCGCCAGGTGTTGGCCTGGCACCTGTAGGCCTCCACTACTTATGGAATTAAACGGAACTGAAAGAATTTCGAGGACTTGGAGTCATCCCTGAAGTCAATGGGAAGGGGCGTGGGAGAGTGGATAGGGTGGAACTAGGCTGGGAACTGTATTCCAGGCTCTGGTGGGAGCCAAGAAAAGGTCCCATTTGGGAAGGTCACAGGTTTAAGGAGGCAGGCACTGTCTGCAGGGGCCCTCTGCTCCCAAAATACACACCCATACAAAAAAAAGCTAGATCCTAAACTTCCATCATTAGGGTCAAAATTTAGGGTGAGCCAAGAAACTCAGTAATCTAGATAAATAATATTTTCACACAATATTTTTAAAAATCAAAATTAATGCAAAAAAAAAAAAATCCATGATGAACAAAATATCCAAATTTTAAACAAAGACAGGATCAGCAACAATGTTCTGCCTGGCCATGTGGAGCCTGAGGCAAAAGGAAAATAAGAGATGCTGATCCTGCCCAGTGCTCCGGAGGACACAGTTACCCTTATTCATTATTTGCACTCCTATGTGAAGTGACCTGTTAGGACTCTCTAGCAGGAAGGGGAAAGGCCCCCACATGCCTGGAAGTGAAGAGAAGCCTAGAGTGGGAGAAGGTGCCCCAGGCTGGCGAGGCCAGCTGTGCCTGTCAGAACCAGCCTGTAGCTGACTCCAAGCCAGTGCCCCTCATGGGACTCCCGCCACACCGCTGCCCTGCCCAGGACACCTCACTGGCGCTGGGGCACTGCTGCCAGGGTAATGCCCACCTCAGCTTCTGCACCCACTGGGCTTCCACTCTGTTTGGGAGACTCAACACTACCTGTAGTGGGGGCTAGGTTGTAGTTAATGCACAGCACCCCCATGAGACAAGTTTTTTACCCTGCTTTTCTAGCTGAGGAAACTGACACTTGGGACAGTTAAATGACTTGCCAAGGTCACACAACTAATAAGTAATGAAGCCCGGATTTTAAATTCTGGGCAGCAAGAGTGCACTTGCTTCTCAGTTGACTGCTGGGAAGAGCAAAAAGGAATTGTCCCAGCTCTGAAAACTTGCTGGGCTCAAACCTAGGATGTGAAAAGTTGGCCTGAGGAATTTCTGCTCCTCTTTCGCTCCAACTATGGCCTGTTCGTCTCCTTCTACTCCTTCTTCCTCTTAGATGCCAAGAGAGCAGACAGCTGGCATGGAGGCTGTCTTGTCCCTACCCAGACACAACCTTCTGAGGTCTACAAGAGGTGACTTTTTCTTTGGCAGGAGGGGTTCTTGAATGAATTCATAAAAATGAGGAAGGAGAAAGATTGGTCCTCTCTCCTGGTGAAGCCCCTACCTGGAGGGGCACACCTAGAACCTGCCTCCCATCCTAGGAAAGGCCCTGGTCCAGGCCGCCCCCACCCCTAGTCTAACTCACTGGACTCGAGGCATGAGTCACACACCCCTTCTCCCTGTGCTGTGGTAGCTGAGCCACCAGTCCACTAGGGAACCACAATGACATAAGCCCGACTTAACAGCAGGGAGGAGGATAGAGACAGAAGGAAGCAGACAGCAGTGAACAGCTGAGATTGGGGAAGGAAGTAAGGTAGAGAAGGAAGCCCTGGACCCAGGAACTTGTCTTGCTCTTCCATTCAGAAACTTCTCCTCTCGCTCCCATCCCCCCCCCCCCCCCCGCTTTTGTCATGAAGGGCCAGATAATACTTAGAGTGTGTGAGCTGTAGAAAGCTATAAGGTCAGTGTTCGAGTGTCAGTGATTCATAGCCTGATGTGAAATTCCACCATTACAGAGTCATTCCTTTAGCTTCACATAAGAATTCTCAGGTTAAGATACATACAGGGGAAAAGGATAAATCATGAAGCCTTATTCACAGTGAATACCTTGACTCATTGAGGTTATCAGAATCAGAATCTAACCCCTAAAGATTATCCAATCCAGATACTTCATTTTACAAATGAGGACCCCGAAGTCCCAGAGAAGTAAAATGTCTTGTCCAAGGTCCCACAGACAATTAGTGGCAAAGCCAGGACCAGGACACAGGCTAGCAGAGCTGTGACTTTAAGGCTTGTGCCCAGCAAATACAGAGGCACTTCCCCTCAGCAGCCCCCTGCATCAGAACAGGACTGCAGTGAGGGAGTCAACTGTCTGCAGAGCTGGAGCAGACTTTAAAAAATATTTTGTACATTTTTTCTGACTGTAGAAATAATTTGTGCTCATAGAAATTTTGGAAAAACATCAAAAAGTCCAAAAAGGATAAAACCACTCAATCCCACCATCCAGACAGATGACCAGGATTTTTATATGCACATATATTTTTATTAAATTTAAAAATTTTTGAACACTGTCTTTTATAATAGCTAATAAGCATCTTACCAGATCATTAAAAATCCTTCAAAAACATCATTTTAATGTCTGCATAATATTTCATCATGCCTATATCATAAAGTACTTGACCACTTCCATTTACATTGAATTTCCTTTTTCACTATATAAATGATGCTATGATAAATGTCTCTGTACATAAATATTTTTCCACATCTCTATTTCAGATAAATGTATAGAATATAATTTTCTGTTAAAAGGTATAAATTTTTAATATTCTTGTTGCATATTGCCAAACTGCTCTACTTTTATCCCATGGCTTCAATAGTCCTGGAATACTGATGCTTTACTTGGAGAAGATGGGGCAGTCGTTGTTCGGTGGTAGAATTTTTGCCTTCCACAAGAGAGACCTGGGTTCAGTTCTCGCCCAATGCACCACTGGTGCAGCCACCACCCATCTGTCAGTGGGGGTGTGCGTGTTGCTGTGATGCTGAACAGGTTTCAGCAGAGCTTCCAGACTAAGACAGACTAGTAAAAAAGGCGTGGTGATCTGCTTCTGAAAATCAGTCAATGAGAACCCTATGGGTCACAACGGTCCAATAACAACAACATCCTTGGGATAGAATTATCCTTCCCTGTTCCACTGACTCAGGCATGGCTATGTGACTTGCTTTGAACAATGGAGTATCAATGGGATGTCCTAGCGGAAGCTTTAAACACCATCACTTTGTTCCACCATTGCTCTTTTCCCTGTGCCACCAACCCAGCATGGCGCAGGTAGGGGCTTCTCCTACAGCTTGGGTCCAATAACAAAGACGACTTGGTAAGAGAGCTGCAGCCAGCGTAAGTGAGAAGTAAGCCTTTGTTGTTGTAGACCACTGAGAATGGGGAGGAGGGAATTGTTTACCACATTGTAAATTAGTGAAAGCTAACTGATACACCCATCCCAACTGTCCCTGCACACCATGGTGCTCCAGGGAAATGCCAGAAGGACTGCATGGCTGGGAACATCCTCCGCGACATGGAGGGGTGGAGTGTCTCTTACTACACTAACCCTGAAACCCACCTCCCTGTTCCACTGAAGAACCTGGGGAACCTTGAAAGGGTGGTCATTTTCTCCAGGGTGCTCAGCAAGCTTCGGTGCGGATGACAGCCCCAACTCGCCACTTCCCCATCAATGCCATCAGCCCTGGCCACCCTCCAGAACCCAGCCCTGAAGGGGTGGGGGTGGGGGGGCAGGATGCACAGCAGTGACTCAGCTATGTGAGCAGGCAGGGCTGAACCTGTTTGATATAGATAAGGGCTCCTCCCCGCCCTCCTTCACCCTTCGTGCCCCTTTCTTCCTTCCCTCCCTTGCCTAAATGTTATTCCTGGAGGCTAGGCTTTCTTTTTTATTTATTTTGGGTAGATAAAAACAAAAGGGGGAGAACCTTAACAGGGAATGTCTGCGGAACCCCAGCACAGGAAGGGGGCGGCCGAAGTGTCAGGTGCTGACCAGTGTGTATCATCACACCTGGTCACGTCTGCGGTCCGAGCCTCAGAGGCTCCCACCTGGCTGAATCATCAGACTCACTTGGAGGGCTTTTATCTGCCCTGCCCAGGGCCACGGTGTACAGCAGTGCAGGTTGTAGACTGAACAAAGGAGCCCAGCTAAGAGGGCAAATGGGAGCTGAAGTGCAGTGTATGCTCCACCATCCAAGCCAGGCTCTCTGGCTAGGGGCTGCACTCTCCTCAAAAGGAGGGGAGATTTTCTTCACATAAAGTCTCATACACCAGCAGGGCTGCATCTGCCCAGAGTGGCTGTCTTTTTCCATTTCATAGAAAGGTAGCAGGGACCATGGTCCATTGCCAGAAGATTCTGATTCGTGGATTTGGGCTAGGGTTGGGGGATCCTCATTTTAAGAACTCTCTGTAGGTGGTTCTGAAGGTGACTCTGTTCTGGGAAGCCTGGCCTT